GATGAGAGGGGAGAGGTAGGAGAGTGCGTGGAGGGGAGTAGAGTGAGATGAGAGGGGAGAGGTAGGAGAGTGCGTGGAGGGGAGTGGAGTGAGATGAGAGGAGAGAGGCAGGAGAGTGCGTGGAGGGGAGTGGAGTGAGATGAGAGGAGAGAGGTAGGAGAGTGCGTGGAGGGGAGTAGAGTGAGATGAGAGGAGAGAGGTAGGAGAGTGTGTGGAGGGGAGTGTAGTGAGATGAGAGGGGAGAGGTAGGAGAGTGCGTGGAAGGGAGTAGAGTGAGATGAGAGGGGAGAGGCAGGAGAGTGCTTGGAGGGGAGTGGAGTGAGATGAGAGGGGAGAGGTAGGAGAGTGCGTGGAGGGGAGTGGAGTGAGATGAGGGGAGAGAGGCAGGAGAGTGAGTGGAGGGGAGTGGAGTGAGATGAGAGGGGATAGGCAGGAGAGTGCGTGGAGGGGAGTGGAGTGAGATGAGAGGGGAGAGGTAGGAGAGTGCATGGAGGGGAGTGGAGTGAGATGAGAGGGGAGAGGCAGGAGAGTGAGTGGAGGGGAGTGGAGTGAGATGAGAGGGGAGAGGTAGGAGAGTGTGTGGAGGGGAGTGGAGTGAGATAAGAGTGGAGAGGTAGGAGAGTGTGTGGAGGGGGAGTGGAGTGAGATGAGAGGGGAGAGGTAGGAGAGTGTGTGGAGGGGAGTGGAGTGAGATGAGAGGGAGAGGTAGGAGAGTGTGTGGAGGGGGAGTGGAGTGAGATGAGGGGAGAGGTAGGAGAGTGCGTGGAGGGGAGTGGAGTGAGATGAGAGGGGAGAGGTGGGGGAGTGCGTGGAGGGGAGTGGAGTGAGAGAGGGGAGAGGTAGGAGAGTGCGTGGAGGGGAGTGGAGTGAGATGAGAGGGGAGAGGTAGGAGAGTGCGTGGAGGGGAGTGGAGTGAGATGAGGGGAGAGGTGGGGGAGTGCGTGGAGGGGAGTGGAGTGAGATGAGGGGAGAGGTAGGAGGGTGCGTGGAGGGGAGTGGAGTGAGATGAGAGGGGAGAGGTAGGAGAGTGCGTGGAGGGGAGTGGAGTGAGATGAGAGGGGAGAGGCAGGAGAATGAGAAATCCACAATAGGTTCACCAATAAACTGCCACGGCACTGTTGACAAGGCCGGTTGCACATGACGTCACGCACCCCCGACGTGACTTGAGTGTTCGCGCGAGACTTGACGTCACGCATCCCCGAGGTGACACTGAGTGTCCCCGCGAGACATGCCGTCATGCACCCCCGAGGTGACACTGAGTGTCCCCGCGAGACATGACGTCACGCGCTTGGGTGGTCCTCTCGGTTCGAACTTTGACCCCGAGCGCCAGGAGCTGGATCTGTTGAGTTAAACTCGCGCTCGCTCACACAAACACTCTAATTCGTCTTAATTCGACTTAATTAATACACTCTAATGCAAACACTCTAATTAGTTTTATACATACACTCTAAATAGTTCAACACAAACACTCTGATTAGTCCGATACACTCGAATAGTCGAATACGTTCACTCACGCGTCCACCCTAACACACGCACACACTGCAACTTGGTGACGTCAGGGTGGCCGTGAAGTCACCACGGCGTGTGTGCCAGGGCTAGTGCACTTGGAAGCCTTCACTTGAAGTGTGGGAGGATCTACGGGATATTTGTCTGTGTTATGTTTCAGGTGTAGGTGTGTGTATTATAGATGTTAACGTGTGTGCGATTGTGCACAGTTCAACTGTGCAAGTTTTAATTTGTTTAACGAGATGAGACCAGGGGATGTGTGTTTGTCTCATTCGCAAGATGTCCCTGGGGGTCACCAAATTTACAAAAGCAATAACAACAATACAGCAATGAAGCAGTATTGTGTTGTACAGGTGTGGCTGGCCAGGCGTGTGTGTACAGGTTCGATCCACGCTCACGGCCAACCCGCCAGTGATGATTATCTGAACCAGTCTTGGGCCTCCACTAGGTTGACTCAGCCTCAAAATAAGTACCTTGGTGCGGGTGTGTAAACATGGCAACTGGGGAGACAAAGGCGGTCGGGCGTGGTGCTGGCCACCCACCCCCGTGCCGACCAAAGGTGCTCGCTAAACAGCACTTGCCCAACAGTGTGTGAAGGTTATAGGGGGATCTTTGTCTTTGTGCGTGTGTACAGGTGCGTCCAGGTGTATGCGACAATGGCGATGGAGGGCGAGCCGGGTTTTGTGGTGAAATTCCTGTACCTCCTGACCCTCTCCACTGCGTGGGGCATGGGGATCTGGGTGACATTCATTTCAGGTATGAATGCTTTATCATCACCATCATGAGCTTTAGCCAAATTCTCCCAACCAGGTGGCTCCTACATCATGAAACCTCCTTTGCCAGTAGCAAGATGTAGTAATAGGTTGTTACCCTTTTTTTCTGGCACCAAAACTGACACCTTTATACAAGGGATCATGTTTGCAATAACCACAACACAAGCCAGATAAAAACCTATTACTATATCTTGATACTGGCAAAGGAGGTCTCATAATGTAAATGCTTACCCCGAGCTCTCAATACTCTGATAGTGCGCCTTTTGACGTCATCTGGTCTCACACCAGTGGAGAATAGGCTCTAAGAAAAGCCGTCTCTGGTGTGGACCAATCAATTTCAAGGGCAGTGCATATCATTATCAGAGTTGTCTCTTTTTGTTTGCATTTTGACTGCTTGTGTTGTGGTTATTGCAAACATGATCCCTTGTATAAAGGTGTCAGTTTTGGTGCCAGATAAAAGGGTAAAAACCTATTACCAGGTGGCTCCTCCTTGTTTCTCCCAATGTTAGTATGTCTCTTCCCCAGCATATCCTCATCTCTTCTCATATTCTCCCGTAACATTTTCACCATATCTCCATGTGTTTGCCCCTACATCTCCACCGTATCTCTCAGTTTCCCTGTGGCATCACCCATCGCTTCCATATCTGGTCCCTCGCTCTCCATATCCCCATGTTTCCGTGTCTCCCCAGGTCTACTCTTTCACCAACACATTCCAACCCCATGTTCTCTCACCTGTTCAGGTTTCATGATACATGGATGCCACGGTGGCTAGATGTGAACTACCCCGCCTGGTATACAGGAGGTCGTTGGTTCTATCCCAACCCTGACGACTGTATATTTGGAGTTTGCGGTGTCCTCTCTTCCCGTGGTCGTGTGGGTTTTTTCTCCGGGTCCTCCGCTTTTTTCCCTCCACATTTAGAAACATACCTTTTAGAGTATTAGGCTGCTATTCATTCCCAAATGATAAACCATGTCGGTGAGCTATCATGTGGCCAGGTCGCTCCTGAAAAAGACCAATATTTTTATTATTATTTTATTATTTCCCTTCTACGTGACTTTACCGAAAGAACCAAGTAGATGAATCCCTGTCGTCATGAAAGCTTTAAATCGAAATTTAGACCTATATAGCTCAGTGGGCCTTACCTGGTAACATAACAAGTTTTTGTTTAGTTTTTAGTTTACTTCGCCACTCCATTCCCACCCCCATGCACCCCCCCCCCCGCCCTCCTCGTGTTCTCTCTCCGCAGGTCTCATCATGCGTCAGCACCTGCCGCGCAAGTGGCTGCGCAGCGTACAGGGCCTCCTCTTCCCCATCTACTTCATGCTCGGCTCGTGCTGCTCCATCCTCAACCTCGCGCTCTTCGCCCTCTACCACCCGCGCGAGGCGCTCGATACGCAGGAGGTGGTGCAGGTCAGAGGTCGTAACTTGCTTCTCGCTTCTAACGCGGAGATCACGGACGGCGTTCGCCTCTCACTTCCTCGCAAATCGCGTACTGTGACCGGTTCTTGCTTCCCACCAATCACAGATGGCATTTATGTGTTTCTCATCTGATGAGCTCATGCTGATAACACAATTGCAAACTTGACTTGAAGCTTTCGTGACTGCAGGAATTACTCTTTGGTTCTTTCGGTAAAGTCACGTAGAAAGAAAATAAATTAAAGAGATGCACAACATTGACACACAGAGTGTATCTGCTGTGTGTCTCTCTCTGTGTGTCTCTGTGTTGTTCTCTTTCTGCTTGTATGTCTGTCTGTGTCTCCGTGTCTGTGTTTGTGTCTCTCTCTCAAATTTAGGCAATCTTGGAAGAAGGTAATCAACCAGGTAAGGTGCTGACTGTTGTGTTAGCCGACTCTCTGTGTTGTATTGCATTGTATTTCTAAGTTCACTCGGTTTGTTTTCTACCTGATGACGATTGCTTGTATTACAATCGAAACGTCCGTATTATATTATTTAAATGTATTTTCTTTCTATGTGACTTTACCGAAAGAGTAACACAATTGCAATTAATTTAAAATAAATAAACCATTAATTTTTGTTAATTGATAAATCTTCATATTCCAACCATCCACAGGTGTGTCTGTGGCTCCCCCCACTCACGATGCACGCCCCCCCCCCAACCTCACATCTGTGTAGATGTGGCTGTGGCTCGTGTCCGTGGTGAGCTGGGCTCTCAACGCGCGCTGGTTCAGCGACACAACCATCACGAGCCTTGAGAAGATGACCGCCATAGAAGTAGAACACGGCATTCTGGGACAAGAGCCCGCCCAACCGATCAATAAGGAAGGGCCGGCTTCCGGCCAATCACAGGTGGGTGTGATGGTGGAAATTTTCAAACGAATTTTTGCATTCTTTAATTAGACCGGTGGGGTGTGTGTCACTGTGGTCACAGCACTAACATTGTTTTAAAATTCATGTGTTTAATTCCCAGTAGGGGGTAAGATCAACTCATTCATAATTTATGATCCACATATAACATCATCATTGTCATCACCCCCTTTGTGGTTAACAGTGATTGTATTACACATAGCCTGACCATCACCAAAGTAATGTGGAATATTTAACACCGGCTACAATGATGTACGCTGCCCCACGGTTATTGAGGGTAGGGATATGTTAACTTTCTGATCTGCTCTTTGAGCAAGGGTAACCTGGTTTCCTACAGAGATGTAGGTGTTAGTCGATCCTATTAAAATGGTTCAAGTATAAAATACACAGTACAGCAGTGCGACAATGACCCATGACGAGAGATTGATTTCAGCTGGGACTATCCGGGTCAGTGGCCTGGAAAATATTTCCACACCTGGGACACCACATCCAGTATACATTTTGCAATTACTGTGGCTACTCTTCACATGCCACCTCCAGTTCAGCAGCAACCCAGGAAATATTCAGTGAGAAATTAAGACCTGCCTATGAACACTGACCCCCAAGAGTCGTGTTTTTTCACCATGCAGAACGCGCAGGACATGAAGGAGAAGTGTGCCCAGCTGGAGGAGCGCGACCAGAAGTACAGTCGCGCTGTCGGGCGATTCCGTCGATACCACAAGGCCTCCCTCTTCGCAAACTTCGTCAGTCTGGGCTGCACGGGGATCAGCCTGGCACTCGTGGCACAGCACCTCGGAGCTCTCTGAAGAGGGGCCCGAGTTGGCGAGTGGCCAGGAGAGTGGCTGGATAGGTATAAGGGTGGAGCCATGAGTAGAAGGGTGGGCTGGTGAGTGGGTAGGCAGGTGATTGGGTGGGTAAGTGGGTGAGCAGGTGGGTGAGTGAACTGTTTTTAAGTGTTTAGTTTGTTGCTCTGACCCGCACCTCTGATTAGCGCGGTTGGCAATGTACGGTGCGAACGAAGTTCAACTAACATACATTTGGTGAAGGTGTTTGTAAATGGGTGAGTGGGTCGGGAGATGGGTAACATTAGTGAGCACTGAATGAGCAGTGAGTAGGTGGATGAAAGCGCTGGGTCTTGTAGTTGTTTTTGAAGCACGTCTTGATGCATATCTTTCTGTAACATTCCGTTCAATTTTTTACGTCCAATTGAGGTCACTTTAACACTACTCCTAATCGCACCCTCCCCAAATCCCCAATTGTGAAAATTAAAACACTGAATCAGAGTCGTTGTCGTCCTTGTTATATTTGCATACTTTTTTTTATTTTTTTAACAAAAACCAGATGCGCATGATCAATCGCTCCAAGGCACGGGATTTTGAGTTCAAGGTTAGTTTGGAGTTGTAGGTAGAGAATAGGGGTAAGTTAGGGTTGGTGTTTAACTATACAAAAGAGTCCCAAGTGTCCACCACAACTACAGCCAGAAACAAATACCCTGTTTAGAACGATAGAGCACCTATTGAGGTCTGCATGGCTCACAGAGTTCATGAGGCCAGTACCAAGCCCAGCCACCGTCTTCTCCCCAGTGCTTAGGTTTAGATTCCACACATTTATGGCCCAGTCAACTTACAAGAGGCCCAATACAGGGCTCAGATACTACGTATCGCTGATGTTATGCACTGCAACTTGGAATCGAACCCAGGTCACTGGGATTGTAGTGCAGTGCGCAAACTATTACACCATTCCCTCACCCCACAAACACAAAGGTTGCCCATATAGCCTCAACACATTGTTGGGTTAAGTGCTGTTACCAAGCACCTATCAAGGACAGCACGGGACGAGGGGTTGGGTGGCCAACACCATGCCTGGCCCCCTTTGCCTCCCCAGTGCTGATGTGTTTCGACACTGCACCAGTTACTCATTTAAGGCTGAGTCGACCTACCACATACACACTCGCACACACACACACACCTTGTTCCCTTCCAGTGTTCAAAGCAAGATAAACATTTTGTATAAGAAAATAAAACTTAAAAATATATATTTTTTAAAACCCAGTAAACTTGTTACCCCAGTAGTGTTCAGATTAAATGTACAACCTAAAGATAAAGCACACGTATACATATATTTAGATATTTACATACAGATACAAAGACATACACATGCAACACAGTCGAGATGTTTTTAGAATGTTTTGAGAATATAACTGTTAAAATGAAGCATAGTGAACACTCACTCTTACTCGAATACCAACCTTATCCCTAACGTGAATGTAAACTAACCATAACAGTATCCTGAAAACCAACATCAGCCCTAAACATAACTCAATTGTTAATCCTAACTTTAGCCCTACCTCAAATACTATAACTGAAACCTAACTCGAAGCCGAACCCATTTGCGCTAAACCCAACACCAACCGTAATTCCCACCTTGAACGCCTAATAATACAACCACCCCTACACTTCTTTTTTATATTTCGATTTAAAGCTTTCGTGACTGCAGGGATTCATCTTCTTGGTTCTTTCGGCAAAGTCACGTAGAATGGAAATAATAAATAATAAAAAATACAACTTCATAAAATAATTATCACGACGTTTCGGCCACAACGCAAGCAGCCGTCCTCAGGTGAAGAACGCTGTCTTTCTGACAGACCTGTTCTTCACCTGAGGAAGGCTGCTTGCGTTGTGGACGTTGCGTTGTGGCCGAAACGTCGTGATAATTATTTTATTTTGTTTTATTTTTTATTATTTTATTCTTTTTTATAAATACGGAGATATTTTTCTTTCCCTGCTCCGGGTGCTTGGAGGAAGCCACAGTGGCCGAGGTCATTTTTCTCATTGTTCCGTTCGCCGCTCGGAAAGTGTGTTTTTTTGTTAAATTCTAAGATTCATCAATCTTCTGTCAGGAGTGTAAATTCAATATTGGACAAACAGCACCATCTCAATTGCAGGCTCAGACTTTTGCAGTAAATGTTGTTTGCGAGCACCTATTAAGACCGGAATGGTGCACGAAGGGGTGGTGTGGTCATTGCGATCCGCAACTAACTGCAAGTACTAATATTTACACCCCCATGTCAGGTATTCATTTAAGGCTGAGTCGACCTAACCGAGGTACACGACAGGTTCAGATTCCTGGTAAGAGATGTTATTCATGTCCAGATATCGAACCCAGTTAAATTGTGTCGCCTGTCCATGCATTCACACATACATGTGACCTACACACAGATACATGTACACACGCACACACACTTGTACACAGAGATATACATAAATAGACATTTACTGTAAATACACCCCACAAAGACCTGTACACATGCATGTACAGCACACATGCGCACACACAACCGGTACCTAGGTCAGTTTTAGCGTTAAGCTCACGTCAAATGTTCGGCTAAGAGCCAAGGTGAGCCACTTGCCCAGACCCAAATTTAGTACAGTGTTCAACTCAGTCCACAGCCTAAATTAAAAAAACCAGCCCCACTAAAGTCTCATGTCCCGGGCCAGTGGGAACAGTGGCAGCTCGGAGCCAAAATGTGCCCCTTCCACGGACACTGATCAGTGAAAGTAACCGCCGTTCACTTTTATCAAGATATCTCTTTGCACGTGAGCCAATGTCACGTGTCTTCAGACTACATTTTAGTGGATTTGGGTTTTTTGATTATGGTGATTGAAGGGAGTCGATGCAGCCACCTGCATGGTCGTTTCCATCATCTTTACCATCACCATCTTATAATCATGATCATAGTCTTTCATCATCATGGTCATTCACTGTTAACGGCATCATCTTAAATTTCATCATCCTCATCACCAGAATTCATTACATCATCATCGTCGTCGTCGCCATCATCCACACCTTCACAGTGTCGTGTGTGCATTCACAGTCTCTTTTGTGTTCTTGCATGGGCACTGGATGGGTCCTTGAGTCACTCCTGCTTGGTTTCTTGGGGGGGTCAGTCAGAGGTGGTGGTCAAGGGGGGGGGGGCAGTCCCCGGTTAATCCCTCTGGGCGGCGGCAGCCGTGTACGAGACGACCGTCCCGTTCCGCTCCGACTTGCGTTGCTGGCGGCAGCGGTGGCAGAGCCACACGATGAGGACGATGAGGGCGACGCCGATGATGAGGGCGGCGATGCCAGCCGCCACCAGGAATATCCACGCGTAGTCTAACAGGGAGCAAAGAAGGAGAATGAGAATAGGGACAGGAAGAATAATGAGGTTGTGGAGGTTGTCAGGATGTGAATGAAAAGGGGAGATTGAGAAAGAGGAGGATGGAGGACATGGAGGTAAAGGTTTGGTATTACGGAGACAGGAAAGTAGTAAAGATGGGAGACATAAGTGGTGATGTAATAAATGACGTGAAGGATGTGGAGAAGGTGGCACAAGCAGTGAAGGAAAGAGGTGGTGTGTGTGTGTGCAAGCGCCGTTGTGTGTCTCGCTGTATACGTGTACAAGTGTGGTAGATGCATGCACGCACATGTGTTGTATATGCATATACGTGCGTGTGTGAAATCAGCCTCAAATGAGAACCTGGAGCGATGTGTAAACATCGTCAACGGGGAGACAAAGGAGGTCCGGTTCTGGTGCTGGCCACTCACCTCCTCGCGTGCCGTGCCGGCCTTCACTAGGTGCTCGCTAACAGCACTTGCCCCAACAGTCCGTTAAGGCTACCTGGGATAACTTTATGTTGTATATGTGTGTACGTGTGCACGTGTGTGCACTACCGGGCTTTGCGAGCCCCGAGCGTGCACACTTCACGTCGCTCTCCTCCCCACGGCGCTCAGCGTTGTCAACGTCCACCAGCAGCTGCACGTGGAAGCAGTACAGCTCGCCCTCATCCAGCCCCGTCAGCATGAAGGCGGCCTGGCGCGACTGGTATTCCTTCTACACACACAGACACAAGATCAACAACTGCCGTTGTGTTACTCTGGTGCTTGTGCCAGGTTACGTGCACCTTGAGGCCACGTGTCGAAGGCTTACTGGCAGGTTAAGGGACACACCCAGGTATGATAGGTTTACTGACTGAGTTGACTGCCAGATGCACTGCCTGTGCTGCACACAGTACAAACTTGCTGTGTTTTAACCGCTCGGTCCTTCAGGAGCCTCCTCCACAGAGGACGATCTTGATCTTACTGGTATCAGTTATCGGTAAGTTCCTCAACTCCACAGCCTTCTGTACTGCATTAGCCCATCTCTTCTCCAGCCTTGCCATGCCCCCCTGTTTGGCCAAACACAAGCTGCTTGGGCATGTGTTGGCTGTGAACGTGGGCTACAACACCCAGCCTCGCCTGCCGGAGCTCACCAATGGCACTGTGTCCAGATCTGTCAAGGTTCTGTAAGCTCCTCGCACAATCCAGCCAGATTATGAACCCAGGATGGATCTCGGGCAGGTCCGTCCGGCTGAATGTTTCGAGCTGGCTCAGGTGTTCACTTACAGTGTCCACGTTTTGCAAGCATTTGAAAAGAGGCAGCACGAGTGTGGTGAAGACTCGGGACTTTGTATGGAATGATGGGCGAGGCAGCTGCCACAGGGTATGCCACACAGTATGCCACACAGTATGCCACACGGTATGCCACACGGTATGCCACACGGTATGCCACACGGTATGCCACAGGGTATGCCACACGGTATGCCACAGGGTACCACAGGGTATGCCACACGGTATGCCACACGGGTATGCCACACGGTATGCCACACGGTATGCCACAGGGTATGCCACACGGTATGCCACAGGGTATGCCACACGGTATGCCACACGGTATGCCACACGGTATGCCACACGGTATGCCACAGGGTATGCCACACGGTATGCCACACGGTATGCCACACGGTATGCCACACGGTATGCCACACGGTATGCCACACGGTATGCCACACGGTATGCCACACGGTATGCCACAGGGTATGCCACACGGTATGCCACAGCGGTATGCCACGCGGTATGCCACGCGGTATGCCACGCGGTATGCCACGCGGTATGCCACGCGTATGCCACGCGGTATGCCACGCGGTAGCCACGCGGTATGCCACAGGGTATGCCACAGGGTATGCCACACGGTATGCCACACGGTATGCCACAGGGTATGCCACGCGGTATGCCACGCGGTATGCCACGCGGTATGCCACGCGGTATGCCACGCGGTATGCCACGCGGTATGCCACGCGGTGTGCCACGCGGTATGCCACACGGTATGCCACACGGTGTGCCACCCGGTATGCCACGCGGTATGCCACGCGGTATGCCACGCGGTATGCCACGCGGTATGCCACGCGGTGTGCCACGCGGTGTGCCACGCGGTGTGCCACACGGTGTGCCACGCGGTGTGCCACACGGTGTGCCACGCGGTATGCCACGCGGTGTGCCACACGGTGTGCCACAGGGTGTGCCACACGGTGTGCCACACGGTGTGCCACACGGTATGCCACACGGTATGCCACACGGTATGCCACACGGTATGCCACAGGGTATGCCACACACAGTATGCCACACACAGTATGCCACACAGTATGCCACACACAGTATGCCACACGGTATGCCACACGGTATGCCACACAGCTGCCACGGTCGATTAAAAGACGAAGCAGAGCTGCGCCCATGAGCACAGTTCGTACAGACGGGACGCCCTCCACCCTCCTTTCCCGCAACTATCCAAAACAAAAAAACCTGCCCCGGTGCTTTGTCTCACTCCCACACAAACATAAACACATGCACACATCTACACAAAGATCCCCCCATATAGCCCACATCGCATGTTCGGGCAAGTCCTGTTAAAGCAAGAGCTGTAATTTACTTGAACGTATTTATCCATGAGAGCCACGGTGAGCCATACGACTCTTTGTCAGGAGGGTCCTGCATTGAGTTTTATGTTTAGATGTTTCCAGCCAATAAATGACGAGCGTTTATTATACGTGCGGGAGAAAACCGGAGCACCCGGAGAAAACCCGCGTGTGCAAGGGGGCAACGCTCTATCTCCATACAGATGGAAAGAGATGGAGATTCATCGACTTGCTGTACCGCCTTCTTATCCTTCTTAAAATTTATATAGCGCCGTGATGAAGGCGCCGAACAAAGAATTAACTATTTGTATAGCAGAAATGAGATGAGTTGATGAGACGGGTGGCAGTACATGAATGTGATGATCTGCGAAATAAACGATGATAAAAGTGACAATGAGTGGTTAATGACGAGTGAGTGTGATGAATGGATAGGGAAGTTGTGAAGAGTGGATGGAGTTGGTGATGGGGAAGGGAGGGAGAAGGGGAGTTTGCGCAAGCAAGGGAAAATAAGTGAATCTTGATTTAAAGCTTTCGTGACTGCAGGAATTCATACTCTTTGGGTCTTTCGGTAAAGTCACGTAATAAGTGAGTGTGTTTAATGGGAAGAACGAAAAATAGACAGTGAGGCTGACTGCTTGGTGTGTAGGGACAGCCTGTTCCAGTGCACGGGGGCCAGAGGCGAGAAAGAATGAAATCGTGATTGGGCACAAGAGAAGAGGGGGAACGGACAGAGACAGCTGGGATTGTGAACGGAGATGGCGAGCCCGGGTACGGCACCTCGGCACCCACTGGAAGGCAGTTTCACCACTCTCGCTGCCTCCACAGGGCTGGGATTACAGACCCCGTGCACAGCCACCACCGCCCGGCTGGATACGAGGGGTGGTGTGGCCAGTGGCTTCATTTCCCCAGTGCTGATATTGATGCCTGTATCAGACACTCATTTAAGGCTGAGATTACATCGGGGAGGTCCAGTACCAGTTCAGATATCAATTAGTTGTCACTGATATTAGCAGTGGCTAATTAGCTCAGGTCCCTGGCTTCATAGTGCAGAGTGCTACCACTCTTCATACACAAAGACAAAGGGGCCACGTGTAGTCTTTCATAGACTGTTAGGGCAAGTGCTGTTGGCGAGCACCAATGACTGACGGCACAGCATAGGAGGGAGTGAGCCAACACCGTGCCCGACTGCCTTTGTCTCCTCAGTGCTGATATATACACCATACCATAGACTAATTTAAGGCCGAATTGACCTAAAGGAGGACCAAGACTGGCTCATATATTTGCCCCTATTATTGGTCACGAACAGGAATAGAACTCGGGTAGCCAGGTTCTGCAGAACACTGCGCTTACCACCGCACTGCTGCTCCACAAGAGACACAGACACCTTCTGCACGTGACAAATGCATGCAAAAAGGCGACAGGGAAACCGGTTAATCAAGCAGCCAGATTACAGAGTGACGAGATGACTCTGTAACCAGATGACTAACCAAGACGCTGACTAATCAGACACCCATATAAAAATGATCTTCTCTCTTACGCACGTGTGGCTGAAAACAGATGATCATACAGCAAGGAAAGTGATAACAAGATGAGACAACAACCAGTCGACAACCTCCTCACATGCACGGGTGTTGGGAAACAACAGCTACCCAGCGACCAGATAAACTCACACACATGCAGGGATAACGGGCTCGATAACCAGATGAGGACAACCCAATCACCATCGCAACCAAATAACAAGGGCACTCGGATGACCGTAGCAATTAGATATAGCGAAGAGAACCTGGTGAGCATAGCAATCAGACGTAGCGAAGATAACCTGGTGAGCATAGCAATCAGACGTAGCAAGGGCAACCGGATGACGGGTGAAGACGTCGATCCCTGTGTGACTTTGTTTTGGAGGCAATTTTCTTTTGATGATGACGACTGTGATGATGGTGAATGATGATGATGATGTTTTTACTCCAGCCGATGATGCCTGTTCACCTGCAGCTCGTGTTGCTGAGGGTGATGATGTCGATGATGATGATGATGCTGCTGCTACTGCTGATGTCAAGAATCATTCTGCTAGAATGATGGTAGCGACTTTCCTGCTGGTGATGGCACAATGGTGATGGGGAATGCTGCTGATGAAGATGCTGAACAATGATGCTGCTGCCGACAGCATCACTGTCGAGGCCAGAGGAGATTAAGTGGTTTTGCATCTTGAAGCGCGTCGAAGACCTCAAAGGAAACTTCGTGATGAGTAGGTCAAGGGCGCCGCTCCCCAGAAGAGGGAGTGGAGGTGCCGCCACCTCAACGGAGGTGAGTCGCGATAAACTCACACAACAGATAACACAACACCGACGCAACAGGAGGAGGAGGACCGCAGGAATGCAGCGACTCCTGTTTTGCAGTCAATAGATCGACCACATTGGGAAAATCCAGGGATAGGCTCTGCCCACGCTCGCCCCACATGCAGGCGCACATGCTTGCCAACTCGTCTGATTGCACGCAGGCCCAGCTCGCCCATTCACTCACTCGCTCGCTCATTCACTTGCTCACCCGCTCGCCCACTCGCTCACCTATTCACACGCGCAATCACCTACCTACTCGCTCATCCATCCATCCACTCACTTATTCACTTGCCTAACCACTCACTCATTCACCCACGCACTTACCTGTTCTCTCACCAACCCACTCATCCACCCATGCAATCTTTCATTCTCCCATTAACACGCTCAAATTTGGTTTAATGGCATGAGAGGAGTGCTCCAGTATTGCCAGAGCATTTGAGTAATACAAATCAACACCTAGACATCGAAACACCGAATGGTATACTCTTTGGTTCTTTCGGTAAAGTCACGTATGTATAAAATAAAATAAATCACGACGTTTCGGGCGTAACATAAGCGTCCATCATCATGGTCTGCTGTCTCAGCAGCAGACCATGCTTTCCTACCTGATGATGGACGATTGTGTTGCGCCCGAAACGTCGTGATTTATTTTATTTTCTACCTCCGTGACTTTACCAAAAAACCAAAGAGTATGGATTCCTACAGTCACGAAAGCTTCAAATCAAGATTGAACCGAATGGTATGTTTGGCTAACACCAATCGCTGAGGATGTTTTTAACTATAGGACGAAACTGGAGAAGCCAGAGGAAACCGCATGCAGAGAGAAACCATACAAACTTAACGCAGGAAGGCACCCATGTCAAGAAATGAACCAAGGCTCTTCTTGATGCGAGGCAAGAAGTGTTATCGATGCAAAACCCTGCCGCCCCGGAGTCCATGTTTCCCGAGATCTGATGGTATTGCGCTGAACTACACAACAGCTTACTGGACAGTTTTTATTACTTTAACATTTTGGCACAACACAGAGGAAAGTGGAAATAAATGACGAAATTTGCAGTGGATGACCACGGATCGTGATGATGATGAGGACAGTTGTGATAGACCCTGGGCTAAGAAACGTATCAAGGTTTTGTCTGTGGAAAAGATGGCGACGCCACGAGGCGCCAACGCCTCCTGCCACTCGGCTTGGGCTATGACGGGAGTCCCGTGTGGGCCCAACAGTGCTACCTCTTTGCTCGCCCTCTTCGACCGTTCGTTCTGACCCCGTGCCCCTACTGGACATCTGTGAAAAAGAGCTTTATAGCTCATCGCATTTCTCCAGTATTAATACATATGCTGATCATGACCAGTTTGTCTTATTGGTTCTTTCGGTAAAGTCACGTAGAAGGGAAATAATAAAATAATAAAAGTAAAACATAATAAAATACCATTTTCACGACGTTTCGGCCACAACACAAGCAGCCTTCCTCTTTATAGCTCATCGTTGTGGCCCGAAACGTCGTGAGAATTGTATTTTATTACGTTTAATATTTATTATTTTATTATTTCCCTTCTATTTGACTTTACCGAAAGAACCAATAAGATGAATCCCTGCAGTCACGAAAGCTTTAAATTGAAATTTATGACCAGTTTCTTTAAGAGCGACTCACAAATTGCGGGGAAAGAAAAGAATCCCTTGCTTTACTGTAGATGTTTCGACCTCTCCCGGTTTGCGATTACAACCGCGCAGGCCATTCTCTCCGGCGGGCTCAGGAATGTGTGTGTCTGGCCTGTGTCACTGGTGGACATGTTTGTGAGTGTGCATAGAGTGTAATCGTTTCAAGACACCAAATAAATAACAATACAGTGGTTTGTATGCATTACGAGAAGGAACCCAAACACAGGATGTGGTACTTGGCAATGTTGCACACAATAAAAGTTGAATTAAACAGGTGTCGATGAAAAACAGAAATCCAGGCAGATAGATGGAGCCATAAAGTGTGAGAAGGAAAGGATTGAGAATGAGCGAAGCAGCGACTGGCTACACAAAGACACCTCTGGCAGAAATTTGTTCAGAGGAACCTGACAGAAATAAAGAAAGCTCATTATGAGGGTATAAATATGGCGGTGTAATGGTTACCGTATCATGGTACGAACCTGGTCACCCGGGCACGGCTAACATTACGAAAAATATATCTTAATCGAATCTGGGCCTCCCCTAGGTTCACTCAGCCTTAAATGAGTATCTGGTGCGGCATGTAAACATCAGTACTGGGGAGAAACAGGTGGACGGGAGCGATTTTGGCCAATCCACCCCCCTCGTGCGCCGTGCCAGCCTTCATTAGGTGCTCGCTAACACCACTTGCGACAAAATAATGCATGCACAGCTGTTAGCAACGGTGCGCGTCTGCTCGCCGCAACTTTCTCTGGACAACTTCATAATAATTCACAGCCGTCAGGGTACACAGGGCATCTCTATCTTTTTATAGGGTGTAAAATATGCTTGGAGGTGTGGCAAGTTTGGTGTTTGACTGTTACGCATTACACTATGCGCGTGTGGTAAGCACGGACAGTCTTCAGGCACTGATGAAACTTGCAAGGATTTGTTCCCCAGATTACTGCGACTCAGTAATTCTTTGGGTAAAATGTGTTTACACATTTATTGGTCGGGGCTTTTAAGCCATGGATTCCAGATCTGAGAGAAACACCTACCTCTCAGTATTAGCTTAAAGCGGGGCAGGGAACCTATCGATCGTGACTTCATTTCGCGCGGCCCGCAGGCAGATGAGGCCTCCCACTTCAAAACGACCCGCAACCACAATTACCTGTGACTGCATACATCATAGCCACACCAGTCGGGTCATGGAGGGGAACACGTTCAACTTGATGAACAGCACTGTGATAATAATGATTCAAATGAACATTCGCGCTCAGCCACTTGATATGAAGAAGTGACCGAGCTGTGTGTTTGTGTGGCCACCAAAAGGTATTTGAAGGTCCTCTTTCAAAGCAGGCCCAGGCTACCTCTCAAGCTGAACTAGCCTGGGCCTGCAGTGTCCATCCTCGAGTTGCTGATTGCTGTGATTGGGCCCTGAATTTGGTCTCACATGTTTCATAATGTGATTGGAGAGTTCAGTGCTTATTTCTTGCAGTCTTTAGTACCTGCCTTAGTCACTCACCCACCCATTCACTCTCTTGCTCACGCACACTCACTCACTCCCTCTACCCACTTCCTCACCGACCCATCCATTCACTTCATTGTCCACTCATACAACCCATCCACCCATTATCGCTCTTACACACTCACTCAACTGGCCCATTAACCCACTCTATAATTTACTCATTCACCCATTCAACCACCCGCTCATCCACTCACTTACCCACACACTTTCTCACCCACCCTTTCACTGTTTTGCTCACTCACCCACTCCCCCACCCACTCACCCATACACTCCCTCGTGCACCCACCCACCCGTCCGCTGCTGCCGTCTTTCCAGTAGGTGAGGTGGTAGCGGAGGTCTCCCGTGTAGATGTCGCCCATGGTCTTGTGGCTGCCGTCAATGTTGAAGTAGGGCGTGATCAGGTCTGCAACCTTCAGCTGGATGCTCCCATTCCGCCCGACTGCCTCGAACTGTGGCTTCCCAAGCTCAGCTGCTCGTAGAGACATGTAGACATGGGGACACGGAAACACAGGATCAATAGGACACAGGGACATGGGAACAGCAAGACACGCGATCAAAGGGACATGGAACATGGAGACATGGAGACACAGGATCCAGGGGACACAGGGACATGGGGACAGCAAGACACGCGATCAAAGGGGCACATGGGCATCGGCAGAGGAAGACTCAGGATCAAGGGGACATAGGGACCCGAGGACACGGAGACACGGTTTCCAGTGCACAAATACATTTGTAGATGATGTCATCAGCGCAGAGATATGGAGACATGTGGGTAAGGCAGTGTTTTGTGTCCCGTTTGTTAGTTTTGCCAAGTGCGGTAAGCCTACCACCCCATGACCAGCACAGTCGTGATGTTACGCCCAAGATGACGGCATCGCTGTGACTGGTGTGCGTGTGGGACCATGATTGACATGCCTCTATGTATGTGTGTGTATGTAGAACTTTATGGAGTCGGAGCCATTCCCTGTTCACATTGAGGTGCGCCAGGGATGTCCTCTGGCTCCCACGTTATTCTACATCATCTATGACCACATAGTTTGAGAAGCTTTCCATGGCTGTACCGGGGGAATTTCCATCTAATACAGATACAATGGGAGGCTGATCGATGCATGGGTGCGGTTGAGGGATGGCTGCCTATTCGTCACCATGTTATGTGTGCTGATGATCTGGTGATTGCTTCTCACTCAGAGGAGGAGTTGGAGGTGCTGCTGTTGCCACTAAGAGGTGGGGTCTTACCATCAGCTCCACCAAAACTAAGCAACTGCCTGGGTATTTTGTGCCACCAAACACTCCACCCCCTCAGCTCCCCATTGGTGATGGAGCAGTCGTGGAGAGAGTGGAGAGTTCCCATACCTGGGCATTCTGCTTATGACTAGCTCCGGTTTAACAGCAGAGGTCTCACTCCGAATCAGTCAGGCCGCATTATCTTTTCATCGGCTGCGTAATGCTGTGTGGAAGCTATCTGGTGTGTCGGTCCGCAATAAGCTTTGGGTCTTCTCAGCCACAGTCATGCCCTGCCTTCTCTATGCTTGTGAAACGTGGACCCCTCTAATGGCACATCTTTTCCGGTTAGAAATATTCAAGCAGGCCTGCCTATAATCCATCCTGGGTTTAACCCGGCTGGATTGTGTGAGGAACTCACAAATCCTTGAAAGATCTGGACATATTCCCATCAGGCAAGGCTGCGTTGGCTGGGCCATGTAGCCGCATGCTCAGCCACCGCATGCCCAAGCAGCTTCAGTTTGGCTGCATAGAGGGGGCTAAACGGGCACGACATGGGCTGGAGAAGAGATGGACTGATGTGGTACGGGAGGATGTGGAGCTGAGTGGACTTGCCAACGACTGATACCAGCGGTGTCAAGATCGGCCTCTATGGAAGAGGCTCGTGAAGGATGCTGCTACTGGGCAGTTGGAGGCAGATGCCCTCCAGCAACAACGGAGGGCAGAGGAGTGACGCTCACAACGAGCGGAGTGCCGGGCGGCTAAAATACAGCAAGTTGGCACAGTAAGGGGTATTGCTCGTGCATCTACCAGTCAGCCAACCCATGGCACATGGGTCTGTCTTGAAACCTGTCAGCGAGCCTTCGACACTTCACGTGGCCTCAAAGTGCGCCTGGCCTGGCATAGGCGCCATCGTGACGTCACCGTCACTTAGAGTCGAATGGTGGGTATTGGTATTGGTATGTAGATCTTCTTTAGCACTGTATGTAGCCAACCATGCTAATCGAAGGTGCCCGTGATCTCATTGTACACCTGCTAAACCTGTGGAACAGGTGTGAAATTGTCAAATGCACCTGCTATCATGAAACTGCGATATCATTGTACAGTCATCCTATGTCTGTGGTATGCTATGGAATGCCGTGGTATCACCGTACTGTCGTCGTAGGGCACGAAGGAGGGCGACATGACCCAGGGTACGGTGTGCACTGCGCTGGAACCGCCCGGGATGGCACGCACACGAGCGCGGTATGACAAGCGCGGATCGGCCATGATGCTCGTGAGGTCACAGGTCGTTTCTATCGAGTCCGTGCACTCTGCCTTCTGCTTCCAGGTCGGCCACGTTGCACTGACATGTACACACACACACACACAGGCATTAGATGTGTGCACACGCACGAACACTCACAAAAGATACAAAGACTCCCCCCCCCCCCCGCGCCACTGTCAAGCCTACACAAGCTTTTAGGTCAAGTGCTGTTAGTGAGCACAGGTGTATGACCACCTTTGTCTCCCCAGCGGTGATGTTCACACAAATGCACCATATACGTATTTAAGGCTGAGTCGACCAAGTGAAGGTTAATGACTGGTTAAGATATTCGTCACTGATGTTGGCCGTGAGTGGGAATCGAACTCGAGTCGCTGGGCTCATATTGCAGTGTGTTAACCACTACACTCCAAAAAAACAAAGATGTCCCGTATAGCCTTAATATACTGTTCAGGTAAGTGCTGTTAGTGAGCACCTATGAAAGGTTGAGTCGACCTCGGGGAGGCCCAGGACTGGTTCAGATAATCGTCACTGGTGTTGGCCGTGAGCAAGAATCGAACTCGGGTCGCCGGGCTCTTATCGCAGGGAAACTAACCACTACACCACCGCTCCCCACTGCACATGAGGAGAGCGTCACCTCCTCACCCCAATAGCTCCACGTCGAACGTGACGGGGATGCCCGTGTCCTCCACTTGCCACTCCAGCAGCGTCTTGAAGTTGACAGAGACAAAGGAAAGGTTTGTGGGGACCGGGGGAGACCCAGAACCTGCAGGGTGAAAGTTAGAGTCTAGGTCAGGGGTATGGCGAAAAACTACAGGTCAGCATTAGGGATATGGGTTAAGGGTTAAGGCTGTTGGTCATGGTTAGGGTTGTGGGTTAGTAGTCAGTGTTATAGGTTAGGGGAATAGGTTACGGTTAGGGTTGTATTACAGCAGTGGTTCTCAACCTTTTTAGTACCAAGACCACTGATCCCCACTCTCCCAGCCGCCCCCACAGTCCCTTCATGGTAACTAAGACCACAATATACATCACATGTCAGTGCTGAAATTAGTTTAGGCGCTATGGATACCCAGTTATTGTTAGCCAGTGTCTATTAAGAACCCCCCCACCCCCATACAGTGCAAGGTAGACTGCTGTGCCGCGGTCTTGTTAGCGAGCGCCTATTAAGGCAGCACCTGAGCAAGGAGGGGCGCACGCCATGAGCAGCAACCACGTGACAGCAACGCGCGTCGTCACAGACTCCATCCCCCTCCTCCCGCTCACCTGGGGCAGACGGCAACATCACTCAGCGCTGCGTGGGTAACGAGAGTTTCGATTAAAACGTTAAGGGAGACGTGCATTCAAATCTTAACGAATGATCCATTCGAAATCAAATTAAAACGGTCCTTCCATTAGCATCCATTCTTAGGAGGTGGCTGCGTGGCTCGGAGGTGACCGCTGAGATCCTGGGTTCGAATGCATTTGTTATGATAATCACAACTATGTGACAGAAAATCAAGGCTGTAGAGGAGACCAACATTAGACACGAGACAAAATAACGAGGCAGACAGTGCCCACGAGACAAAAGATACAAACGAGACTTATACAAACATGCCAGAAGACAGCACAGAGGAGACAGTGCAAATGAGAACGACTGTGCAATCCAGGCAGGTACAAACACATACAAACAAATTAGATAGAACAGATAAGACAGGCAGTACAGATTATACAGAATAACAGAGACAATACAAAAGAGACAAATCAAACGAGTTGCATAATAACACAAGATAGATGTAGCGTACAGTACAAAGACGAACAAGAAAGGCAGATGATGCACATGAGATACTGTAGAGTAAAGTAGAGATGCAAATTGTGATGGTTAATACATTCGCTGAGGGACGTTGGAAGTGAATTGGTGTATTATACTCAAGTACCTGGACAATTATGAAGCTGCTGAGAGAGCGAGAGATTCACAGGACTAGGGATTACACCACGGGGACCCAGCAAGATTCTGGCTTTGCGAAAAGGCCACACAATGAATGTCCTGACATCATGAAGCCCACGCCAGTCACTAAAAACACACGGCCGCAAAGCCAGACATTCAGCGGCGCCAGCTCAGTGACACTGACACAGCCATTATGGACACCCGGAGAGACACCTAGCCCCAGGGCTTGAACCCCTCATTAAACTAATCTCAACTTTTTATTTTATTTTACCAGGTAAGGCCCGTTGAGCTGTATAGCTCTTTTTCAGAAGTGACCTGGCCACAAATGATAGCTCAATGAAGTGGCTTATCATGTGCAAACTCATCGCAGTAGCCAAATGCCCTCAACGCACGTTTCTAATGGGTGGCATTGAGTTACTGACATTCCATATTTCTATGACAGGACCTAGGTAGTCCTGTGTTCAACAGTGAGGGTCAATCTGGTCCAACCCATGTGAGACTAGGCTCTAAGGAAAGCTGTCTCGGGTGTGGACCAATCAACTTCAAGGACAGTGCATACATTATCAGAGTTATGTTCTTTTGTTTGTATTATGACTGCAGGTATTGCGGTCTATGCAAACATGACTCCTTGTAAAAAGGTGTCAGTTTTGTTGCCAGATAGAAGGCTAAAAAAACAATTATCATATTTTTACTGGCAAATGAGGTTCCCATAATGAGGGTCAAGTTAAAATATCTCCCTGCCCAAACACGTTTGGGGTGGCACTTAATTCTGTTGGAAGACTTGGGTCAGTAGTGGACATTCCACATTCCAATGATGAGGATCAGTGTATCATCTTCATATTACATTTTCGAAAGTAACAATTCATTTTTAAATAACCTCCTTGTTGAGAGATATTCGTAAGCTATATTCGGGGAAAAGAAACATGTACAAAACCCAACAGCGCTTACAGGAATTATATATCCAAAAGATTGATTGCAAGAATTTAACGAGTTATAGCATTCCTAGTGGAGCTTGGTCCATAAATAACCTCAGTTGGGATGAGCACAGAGCATCGACGGTGATTCATACGTAAAAAACAACAACCCTAAGACAGTAATTTCCCATATCTATGAGCCATTGACACAGAACCTCAGGGAGCCAAAGTCTGCCTCTATGAGCTACTGAAACTATTCAAGTAAAATAAAAAAATGAACCTAAAAGAGCCTTCGCTTTATGAGCCAAGGAATCCTAAGAATCTCATGGCTGCACGAGGTTACGTAACAAGAACTCCCAATGGGACTTTGAACCCCACTCCCTGTCCGGCCTAATGGTGATGGATGGCAAGGTCACACACAGACTCATAGATCTCAATTGTTTTCTTAAAGACTGAAGTGCTGTTAGCGAGCACCTATTAAAATGTGCAAGAAGCACTTATTAAGGTGCACAAATTGGTGGCGTGGCCAACATCACGCTTAGCCGTCTTTGTCTCCCCAGTGTTGATGTTCACACACCATAGTAGTTACTGATTTAAGGCTGAGTCGACCTAAGGGATGATCTAGACATATTGAGCTCTTACTTGCCACTGATTTTGCCTGTGGCTGGGAATCGAACCTCGGTCACCGGGGAACACCGTGCAGTGCGAAAACCACTGCTTTCCATACACACACATTGATGTCAACAAGTACATACCATACAAATATACAAAGACAAAGATCCTCCATAAAGCCTTAACCGATTTTGGGGTGAGTGCTGTTAGCAAGCACTTGTGAAGGCGGGGACAGCACACAAGCGCATTTGTCTCCCCAGTTGCGATGCTTACACATCGCAGACGGGAATCAAACATACATACATATACGCACGTGCAGTGCACAAATCCAAGAACACGAATTGGAGTAGGTGACGAAGCCTTTGTCGTTGCAGCACCAACGTTTTGGAAGAAACCTCGTTTCCTCCCTTAACATCGTGAATTTTTCCTTCCCAAAAATATCCCGAGGCAAAAGATTAGTGCCGGATACAACCCCATTAGCAAATGCCAATTGTAACTTTGCTCCTTACCCGTGTATCAAAAGTTACTTTTTTTACATCCAATTTTATCGAGGGATTGCAATTTGAATTTACATACTTTGTTAATTTATCTTTCGTGGCTTTCTTACCTTTTCTACACTTTGCTCTCCTATCGGTTGTTGTATTGTTTGTTGTTGTTGTTGTTGTTGTAACTTTCTGACCAGCCCCTACCCAACATCTGTGAAAAAGAGCTTCATAATTAATCGGAACTCTTCAGTCGAAATAAAGATTCTCATTCTGCACACACTTACTGACAAACATCTAGACACACACGTATATGCACACGTCTTATATTTGGTTTTAGTGAAGCATACAACTTGAGTGAGCGCTGCAATTTTCTCTCCCTCCCCTCCTTGTGTTTCCATGGTTGTGGCAATGCCATTTGGCTGCCAATTCTGGCAGGAGCCCCAATTTTCTCGCACGATTTCGCTCTTCGGACTTGGCTTGAATTCTACACCAGAATTGAGGCCTAGGGGAAACATAACATCCCGGCACAGACATGCCCCACTCCCAAGTGGAAAATCGAGAAATTCAGGAAATCATGGAAGTGTTACTTTCGTTAAACAACTGGAGTTGTTCGTAATTTGAGGATAAGTCACTTCAGATCAACTCGAGATCTGACCTCAAGTGGGCTGCCCATGGTAACGAAGTTTGTTGGTGTTTGTACAAAGACAAAGATACCCTGTATTGCTTTAACAGACGTTGAAGGCAAGCGCTGTTAGCGAGCACATATAAAGACTGGCACAGCACGCGAGGGGTAGGTGGCCAACGTCATGCCCGGCCGCCTTTGTCTCTCTCGTGGCCATGTTTACACACCGCACCAGGTACTCATTTGAGGCTGAATCGACCTAGGAGAGCCCCAGGACTGGTTCAGATAATCGTCACTGGTGTTGGCCATGAGCGGGAATCTAACTCGGGACCCCGAGATCGTAGCACAGCAGGCAAACCGCTACACACACTTATCAAATGTTTTATACTTACACGTACTATCATACATACAAGCACTGTCAATCAACAGACTAATGCGTATAAACTATTATTATAACTCGCTTTGTGGACAATCAAAGGGCAGTTGACTCACGAGAATGTATTCGTCATCCTAGGTCTCACAAACCAAGGTGTACAAAGAAAGAACATTTCGATGTTTCAAAATACAAGAGCAGGTAGACCGAAATTGCATGAAGAGAGTAACACGATCCCTACCAGGAGGGGAGTCCGGTAAGGTGACACGCTCTTGCCAAAGTTACTCATGGCGACAATCAAAGATATTTTGCAAACATCGGAGTTGAGAAATAAAAGGCATTTAACAAAAATGAAAAAATTATCAACCTTGTTATATTCGCTCATAACAACCAATGGAAATGAACTCCAAGGAAATGACCAGAGGACTTAAGAAAGAAGGCTGCTTAGTTGGACTCAAGATGAATACGCGCAGGACCCGGGTGAATTGTTGAATCACGAAAATGCGAGGGACGGGCAATGACTTGGGAAGGCCTCATCTGCCAGTGAGTCGATGATCACGGCTGACAATGCCGATCATCATCCAGAGCGGTAGTGCAGTGGTTCGCGTGCTGCACTACAAACCCAGCGGCCCGAGTTCGATTCCTGCTCACACCCACCAACACCAGTGACGATTACCTGAACCAGTCCTGGGCCTCCCATAGGTCGACTCAGCCTCAAATGAGTACCTCGTGTGGTGTGGACACATCACCATGAGGGAGACAAAGGCGGCCGGGCGTGGTGCTGGCCATCCACCCCCTCATGTGCCGTGCCGGCCTTTATAGGTGCTCGCTAACAGCATTTGCCCCAAAGGATATACACACATATATAGCCATACACAGCTCAAGTGCGATCATGAAAGGGGTTCATGGATCCAGGGTAGAGAGAGGACGTGATAGATGCTAGGGATGTAACGATGCATCAGTCAATTAATATTGATCGTTAAGCTCATGACACATTAAACGCATCGCCTATCATGTTGCGTTTAGGATGCGTAAGTACATAATGAGCTGCATCCATGATGAGGCACTACCATTCCCGACAATCTGAGTCGTGTGACTGAATCGCTAGAAATTATCAAGTCACTAGGGGATTGCATCGTGAGAGCAGTGTTGGAGGGAAACTGTGCATGGTATGGGAATGCTTGCATTTTTGAGTCGACCCTCACGGGAAAGCATGCGTCAACATATATAGTCGTGGCAACGAATGCAAAAACAAGTACAGGAAATAACTGAAGACTTTAATTGGCGGTCGGTAATGTTGGACTCAAAATAAACACGAGCAGAAAAACTAAAG